GGGGGGGGCATGTTGACGTTCCTGTGACGTTGCATATGTATGTATATTTCTGTGCATGTGAATATTTTTTCTCGGCAAAACAGTTTTCATTACTGTGTGAGCATTGCTGCCTTCACGATGCATTTCATGTTTTTTAAACCTGTTTCGAGCGGTGGCATGTTCTGGAATGTTTGTGCGCGGATAAATTGTTTCTTGCTGCTGGTTGCGGCTCTCAGGATGAATCAGTTTTTCTGCATTGCACTGTGCCTCACTTATATTCTTCTCTTGCGGATCGCCCGTTTTCCACGTCCTCTCATTTCAGGTTTCGAATCTGTTCTCGAGGTTTTGTGGGAATCTCCCATCCTCTGGTTGGACGACTTTGTGAAAAGGTTCCGATCGAATCGGTGAACATGTGTGTTTTCTCAGGTTTTTTCGTGTTTCAAGCGAATTTTGCTCCAAGTTTTGGACACAGAATTTCCGACTTACAAGAGGTTCCAAACCCTCTTTTCCATTGTTTTTTGCAGTGGATTTGCAACACCTCTGAAGTTGGCGTGCTAAAACGCACGCGCGGTTTTAGATCCGCCGGGTTTATATAGTGTCTTTTTTTTGTATATCTTTTTTTCCGTGCCACTTTGGACTAAATCTTGAGCCCCATTTTGAATGTATAGAAGTGTACAATATCCGCTCGATTCTATTTAGTTCCGACTCCGACCATTTGCCAGGCGTGGCCAGGCTGGTATCATGGTTGGAAAAAGCAAGCACACAAATTAATTTGACATGTGGACGGGACACTGAAACTCCAATACATTTCTTGTCGCCTGTGTCAGCCAACATAGTTATTTGAGCTCTGTGGCTGCAGGTTCATGCTGCATTTCGATGGCAGGCTTGCAGGAGCATGTTCTTTTGCTTTTACTGTGCTTTTTCGATAGGCCGTGAAGGGATGCAGAAGAACCTTCTGAAGATCGACGTGGCTCCTGGAATTGGGACACTTAACCTTTGTTTGCCCGACAGGGACACTCCGTTTTGGCTACAAGCACATCGAGGAAGTGCGCATTCCAAGAAGGTGCACGTAATCTCGGCATCAACGGTGGAAGCGATTTCATCTACGGGTGGCCTGGCGTTCACTGCAGACAAGCAAGCAAAAACACAAAGTATTCAGCATGAATAGGAAAATAGGAACATGGAAGAACCATGATACAGTGTATCATGCCGGCTCTGTGACGAGCAAGCAGAAGCCGGCAATACCCAGAACCTTGTGTAACTTGTCGGGTGCACGCCACCTTCCTTTTGTTCCGTCACCATTTCGCTGGGCTTGCAAAGTGACAGTGACGTTTCGATTGTGTTTCCCATTGTTTCCCTGCGGAGTCCGCACTTGAGAGCCATGTTGCGGCCGTTGCTTGGCTGCGCAGCGTTATTCCTGCTGGCAATCGCACGCCGGAGAAAGCGTGGTGCGCTGCGCGGGCAAAGCGTCCTGGCAACTTGGCCAAGCAGAGAGACAATGTCTGAGTTGCACTTCTAAATCTGAGTTGCCATAGGCTCTTCCACGTCCGTAGCATTCTGGGGTTCCGTTCTACCATTCAGATACGATTTGACATTCTAAGTCGCTTGAAAACTTGAACACCACGTGTGACAGATCACCGGCGCAAATAGCGGCATTGGGCGCGAGCTCGCATTGCAAGCTGCCCGACTGGGTGTGAAAGAGCTCATCCTGGTGAGCCCTGTGACTGGTGTGCTTCGGATCGTCCGTTCTTTGGAGCACAAACATGCAATGCGCGGCCAAGCGATGGCCTCCAAGCGCATATCTTTGCATGTTCGAGCATTGCTGTTTACTCGCTTAGGTTCATTCCTTGAGGTTGTGGAACCACTTTGGAATGATCTCAACTGGTTTTGCCTGGACGGTACAGGTGGACTTGGAGCTGATGGAAGATGTTGTTCGAGAAGCACGCCAGCGAGGCACAGCAGACTGTGCAGATGTGCAGATGTGTGATGATCAGCATATATATTTTTTGCTTGACCCACAGGAGGAGATGCTTTGCGAATCAGCACCCACCAAACAGATGTCAGCAACGAGGTGTCGACAAATGCAAGAGAGACGAGAGACATACATGCAAGATGTATGCCAATTTCTAAGAAGATAGATTAATTTTTTTCGGCTCTGCTTTGTGCTGTTCTTTCTTTCTTTCTTTCTTGTATGTTTCTTCCTGCTGCTTTTGCCACACTCGTCAGGAGGCCGTTGCATCTCTTTGCGCTGAGATCGAGGTGCAGGTGGTGCTCCTCTCTGCTGGAGTTGTGAGCGGAAAGGCTTTCCTTCCCTGCGAAGCCCAGTATCTTTGAACGAAAAGACAGAATGTATGTGTAGAGGAAACTACCCCAGTTGACAACCTCAATAGCAAATCATAGCAAATCCTTATGCAACAGCTCATGCAAGAAACGGCAACATGCGGCACTTTCTTTCCGTGCGAAACATCGCACCCAAAGGTGCAAAATTCCAGCCGGTGATGGCGCAGCTCGCCCCAAAACTGTCGCCCCCTCCACAGCTCTTGGTGCCTTTGACAAAAACCGGCAACCATGACTGCCAAAGGCTGTCGGGACCTTTGATGGCCATGTAATGGTCCGGGTCGAACAGCAGTTGACCTTCATGTTCTTTGGAATGCTGTGGCTGCAGCCAGTTGCAACAGGGCAACAAAGCAGACATGTCGTGCAGCATGTTTTGCTTCTGGCCGGGATCCATGGTGGTTCTCTCTTAGCACAAAACGTGTTCTTTCTCCATGAGTGCTCGCAGATCCTTTGGTCGTATACAAGTACTCTGCTGCAGTGCTGCAGCATGTTCGATCTCAGTCTGAGCCAGTTTGGCTTGTAACTATGGTTGCTCCATCTGGGAACGTGGCTCACACTTGCTGCCCGGGGCACTAGAAAATGTAGGTGTTGTGGCATGGATCGGGGCAGAGAAGGATGCAGGAACAATGGCTGCAGGTCAGGCACTCCAGCAGCACGCTCTGCGCCAAGAGAACCTCGCTTTCCCAAAACAAACGCTAGCCCAACGTGAGTTTGAACATGGCTGAGGCCATCACTGTAGGGTGGAGGCCATCGCTCTTAGGTTGCAGGCCATCGCTTCTAGTGATTCTAGTGAAAGATCTCTAGGAACCACACAAATAGTGCGAGGCCCCGCCCTCAGGCGGAAAAGCCTGAGCTTTCTCGCGTCCTGCCACTATATAGTAGCTTCCGTTTAGCATAGTAGCTTACTACTAGTGGCCTGCCCTGTCTAAAGGTCCTTTGCCTGTCTGAGGCAGAGTCCAGTGGCTTCAGCAGAGTTCCGGAAGACGATGGACACAAACTTCTTTGGAAGCTGCTTGATTTCACCTGTATTATATAAAGGATACACAAACAGATCATTCCAGATGCGCAGTGTTTCGGTTTGCTTATTGGATTCCATAGCACGAAGAGTCCTTTTTACTTTGCTGGTTGTGTTCGACAATGAAGACCCAGCTCAGAATGCTTTTCAGATGTTTTACGGCTCAGGCGCATGGTTTGCCCATCAGTTGCTGCCGAGCATGTTGCAGCGGAGATGTGGGGCTGTGGTTTTCCTTTCGTCGATGATGGGTGACTTAGGCAATTGTAATTGATATATATATATATAGATGTATGTGCAGCTTTGGCCATACACATAAAAGGAAGAGAAAGAGAGAGAGAGAGAGAGAGCGAGAGAGAGAGAGAGGGAGGGAGGGAGGGAGGGAGGGAGAGAGGGAGAGCGTCGAGATTGTCAATCGCAAATTACATGCTTTTGCCAGAACAGAGCATTTTGGAGGTTCCTTTTCAGAGCTCTTTTCAACGCCTGGAATGTGAGGCTTTTTGGGAAGTGCGCGGCTTTCGGACTACTGTGCCTCCAAGTGGGCTCTTTTGGGGCTCACGGAGCGCGATTGAACAAACGTTAGAATCATCCTAGAGTAAACGTAAGAAACCTACTAGCGATGCACTTGTTCCTAGTAGCTTCTTGTTACTACTAGTAAGGCACCTGTTACTACTAGCGAGGCACTTGTTACTCGTAGAAACGTTAAGAATCGTGTCTGGTCGTTCCCATCTTGAAACCATTCAGATCTTCGGAACTTCACGGAATAGGAGGCCATCACTAGAAGGTTGCAGGCCATCGCTAGTAGGTTGGAGGCCATCGAAACACTGTGTGATCCATTCACAACATATGTCAAACACTCCTGAAGCAGTTCAGGAGTCAATCCGTTTGGAACTGCGTGCGCAACAATGTACTGGTGTGGGGGTCATGGCCGTTTGCCCATACTTGGTTGACACCCAGCGCCTAGACTGAGAATATGAAGAGTGCCATCAGGTTTCCTGGAGTTTGCCATCAAATTACTCACTGTCGTATTGTCTTCAGCGCAGTTGAGATGAAGACAGATGGCAACTGACACCTTTGCACCTTTAGGCCATTGCTATTAGGATGGAGGCCATTGCTATTAGATTGGAGGCCACCGCTAGTAGGTTGGAGGCCATCGCTATTAGGTTGGAGGCCATCGCTACTAGGGTGGCTTAGGGTGGAGGCCATCCTTAGTAGGTTGCAGGCCATCGCTATTAGGTTGGAGGCCATCGCTAGTAGGTTGGAGGCCATTGAATCAGGTTGCAGGCCATCGCTAGTAGGTTGGAGGCCATCGCTAGTAGGTTGGAGGCCATTGAATCAGGTTGCAGGCCATCGCTAGTAGGTTGGAGGCCATCGCTAGTAGGTTGCAGGCCATCGCTAGTAGGTTGGAGGCCATTGAATCAGGTTGCAGGCCATCGCTAGTAGGTTGGAGGCCATCGCTATTAGGTTGGAGGCCATCGCTAGTAGGTTGGAGGCCATCGCTATTAGGTTGCAGGCCATCGCTAGTAGGTTGGAGGCCATCGCTACTAGGATGGAGGCCATTGCTATTAGATTGGAGGCCATGGCTAGTAGGTTGGAGGCCATCGCTAGTAGGTTGGAGACGAATGATTTTGGCCTTGATCGCGGTGAGTCGCCAACTAAGGATGTTTAACGGTGCATTTGAGGGTGCCGATTCTGCCACAGTGTTTCGCCAGTGCGTTGCATGGTTGAGGCGTGCAGCGCGTTGCGCTGAGTTTCTAAGATCTGATGGCAATTTGCTGTCTGCGTTGCAGACAGTTGGAACCGCTGGGTGCAATCAAGCGGATGTGATGTTCTTGCTTTCTGGAAAGAGTTTCAATTGGATTTCTGACAGCAGCTTTCAGTTTGATTTCTGCCTTTCTTTCTACGTCGCTGCAGGTCTCTGGTCTTTGCAAAGCTTAGTGCCAAAGATGTTGCTGCAGCCATTCTGGCAGAGCTGGACGATGACTTGGCGTCGCTGCCACCACAGAGCCATGCCAAAATAGGATTGCGAACCTCACGAGAAGTGTAGAGTGGATCTATTTTCACAGGGGATAGGCTAAACCCCTCAAGTGGCTCAGCGGGAGTGTACATAGGAACTTGAGACTCTCTAAGGACTAAGTCTAAGTTGCCGACAATCCTTGCTGTCTTTGGAAAGGCTAGTTCTTCCTTGGCATGCTGCTTGGGTTCCAGTGCTCCTTCGAAGCCTTCCGGCGAGTTCTTTGGCTGAAAACAACATCTGGAATTGGACATATTGGAACATATAGGTTAGACTTGGTATTCATGATGGGCTTTTGGATGTTCAAGTGGCGGTGGAAGGATTCCCTTGTGGCTCTAAACATGAAGTTCTACTGTAGTGTGACTCTCCATAGCATCTCTGAAAGCAACCAAACTCAAGACACAAAGACTCAACAAGGTCTACAGTACCTGTTGCTGGACTTGGGCGGTGGCTGCTTCGGCATGGACTCGTTTCACGGTAGAAAAGCTGCGGTCGAGATTTTTCAGCTTCAAGTCTTCAACTTAAGTGTCCAAGGCGATGCGTAGGAATGGTGAGAGACACAGCTTGTCACAATTTGTCATGCCACATAAGTGCTATTAGGTTGGAGGCCATCACTATTGGCTACTAGCCTGTGAAGTAGCTAGCTATTTTCTATTGGATTCTTACAAGAACTTCCCTACTACGAGCAAGAAGCTACTAGGGGCTCCTGGCATCGCTACTAGGAGCAAGGACGCTACTAGGGGCTCCTGGCCTTGCTACTAGGAACAAGGACGCTACTAGGAGCTTTTTCGCTGTGTCATGGACCTGCCAGACCCAGCCTTGCAGGAGGCCTTGCTGAAGCGGGTGCAGGAGGTGGGAGCTCTGACTCTGATGTTCTTTTTTGTCAGAAAGGCAGGTCTCGGCAAGCCATAACCCCAAAATGACCTACGATGCATTTTTTCTTCACAAGATACATACAAAACTGTACCAGGTTACCTTTTTTTTTTCTTTCTTCACACTCCGTGTGAAAGAATCAACCCACCTGTTGGACGCTCATCTCCGCCTGTCCGCTCCTTGACAAATTGTTGCAGTGTGGATGACATGGTTTTCTTTTTGATCCTTTTTGTGTTTTACCGGTTTGCTGCTTGAAACCTGCATCGCTTCGCACGCTTCGCACCAGTGGGGCTCAAGATTGTGTCTAAAGAAGACCTACCTGGAGCCTCCAAGAACAGATGGCAGCGTCCTACCAACCAATGCCGCAGAACCTCAACGAACCCTCAGAGACGGATGTTGAAGGCGCAGAGAAAACAGATGCACTCCATTCACTCGACATGCAACATGGCATTCTGCAGGTGGAAGCCACGGAGTTCGACAGTTCCGCGTTGATACAAAACACCTGCTCTTGCAGCCGGAGGACCTCCAGTTTGGTGTGTACTCTGTGTACTCTGCTTGTCGGATAGTTGAACAAACTCATGCGAACTAGGCGGTGACGCCATTGCATAATATTTCTGTCAGCATCCAGTGAGATACGAAGAAAATGAAGTTCGGCCGACTTTGCACCCTGAGTGCCGCACCAAAAAATGGCACATGGAAACGATGAGGAAGAGTGCTCAACGGGCAGCATGTTCACGATGCCTATTTGGGCCAAGGCAGGAAGGAGCAAGCACCTCACATGTGGATTTGCACTCCATGTGCTGATGGCGGTGCAGTTGATAACTGTGCAGCTCAGTTGTAACTGTGAACACATGCGGTTGATCCTCTCTCGAGCGCTTCAGGCTGTTGGCTCTTTACTCTTCCTAGTGGGGCTTGGTGCTGCCTTCGTCCTTATTCGACAGGAGGGAACAAGAACAAGACCTCCGAACTCGTGTTAGAGCTCTGTAGTAGATTCCAGACCTTTTGGCCTTGAACACTCGCGCAACTTACGCACGTGCCTTGCGTTTATCAATTTAGCTTCAGCTCGCTGTCTAGACATGTTAGCTTGGCCATGCTCAGTGCTCTTGTTATTCTTGCGTTGCACTTGTTTGCATTCGTTCTGGTGATCGACATGTGATGCCCTGCTTCTCGCCACAAGGCTCCGAAGGGCTCAGCTCCGCATGGATTGCAAGCACCTGAAAGCAATACCATTGAGGCACTCTAAACCTGTTCTGGATTTTCACACAGCGACACAAAATCAACATTTTTTGCACAACACGTTGAGAGTCTATTAGCTTCTTGTTACTACTAGTAAGGCACTTGTTACTAGAAGCGATGCACTTGTTACTAGTAGCTTCTTGAGAAGAGCATGTCTTTTATTGGAGCTGATTTCTTCAGATTCATTGACTACACCCCTCTGCGTTTTTGAGGCAGTGATGCCTTCTGAGCAAATGCTCAAGGCAATGCAGCGCCTCCAGGACCAGGTCCGGAAGAAAAAAGAAAACAGAGAAGACAAAAGGCATGATTTTCAGGTACACAAAAAGGGAGCTTCAGAAGCTTCAGGTCATGCAGAGCTGTTGACTGCATTCGGAGAGAAAGAATTGTCTCAACCTGCTAGGCTACAAAGATGGCGCAAACTAGATCCACGGAGGAAAATGCTGCGAGCACTGCCACGGACGAGACCAGTCCGAAAGCCACCAATGCTCCGCATCCGCATGCAACCGCAGATGCGACGCATGAGCCTGCGCATGTGACGCATGCACCTGCGCATGTGACACATGCGCCCGCTGTCGCTAAGCATGCTGAGCATTCTGAGCCTGCGAAGCACAAGCACAATAGTACCATTGGCACCAATAGCACAAATGGCACAAACACATCGGACTCTGAAGATTCCACTCCGTGCCACTCAGCGCTTCCGGGCGAACCTTGTTATGAAGCTGTCCCTTGGCACCGGATAGAAGCAAAAGAACAAAATGAACAAGGAGCAAAGGGCATCGCTACTAGGGGCTCCTGGCCTTACTACCAGTAGCAATGTTTGCTATTAGAAACAAGAAGCTACTAGTGGAATTAGAATAAATGCACTGTGAAGCACCTCCAAATAGCGATGGCCTCCGGCCTCCAATTGAGCCCCGTGCTGGTCTGAACATCGAACTGAGGTGCTTTGGCACAAGTGGGTGGGCGTCGTCGAGAATCCGAGTTGGTACAAAACAATCTCAAGGCTGCAGCATCTAAATGGAGAATTCAGAATGCCTGTTTAAATGACATTTTCGGTCACTCCGAGTCAATGGAGCGAAACGAGGCATTGCCTCTAGCTGGACTGATGTTGAAGAATACTACGCATGCGCAGTTGAGCAACTTTCGAAAGGGTTCACCTCAGCAGCAAAAAAATTATATATATATACATACACGTGGAACATGTTCAGATTAAGACACTTTTTAAACAAATGCACCGTGACTTGAAAGTGTGGGCAACCCGCAAACGGCAATTCGAACTTTTGATCTCGTAGAACTCGTGGAGGCAATCCAATCGGCATGATATTCAGAAGTGGCTCTGGGAGTCCAAGCGACCCAGCTTCAGAAGTCTAAGCTGCTTCAGCTTCTGCATTCGGCCGCTCTCTTTTTGGGCTCTTCGTGCTCAGTGCTCTTGCTTTCTTTCGTGAATTGGGGCAGCGACATTTTGTTGAGTGCATCGAGATCGAACCAAGGCAGGGTCAATGCCAGCGCCCTTGTGCTGAATCTTGGAATAGACAATTCTAGATTCTAAATGCACTATGATCTAAACTTGAATTCAAAAGGCAATCATGTTTACTTTTTTTGGCTTTGTTGGAGAATGTTGGATTTTGGATGCGTTTTGATTTCGCGTTTTTCGGAACAAATTTGGCAGCACTGAGGGCTCCTATCCAGTCCCGCAGCAGCCCAAAGGCAAAACACCCCAAATCTATTGCTTTTCGGTGTCCCGCGGTGGCGCTGAGATGGATGCTTGGGCGCACCAAAAACCGAAGACCTAGAGTCATGCTCCTGAAAACCTTTGGACGAAGTGAAGCCGAACTGAGGACACCATGTTTCTGCAACGCCAAGTGGGAGGAGGCATTTTTGGCTGCGATGGGTACCTTTGCAGCGACACAGATGACAGGTCGACGCATCACAGAATGACTCAGTATTTCCCGATCGAGCCATAGATATGTTGTGATAGCTAGACCCCCAAGTGGGAAGAAGGAATCAAGCCCGCATTTCATAGAATGTCGCCGCAGGAAAGAGGTGAACATGTCATGAAATTAAGCCTCATCGAGCTGCATGAAAAGGCGCTTTCATGCAGTTGGCAGCCAGATGCAGCGTATTCAAGCACAGCACAGTCTTGCATTTCTGCAAGTGCAAAGCTGCCACGAATGCCTAGGTTTGATGTGTTCAGCGACCAGGCAATCGACATTGACGGGTATAAGAAGCTTTGACTCTGAATCATTCAACAAGTGAGCTCAGGTGTCCGAAACGTTGAGTCAAGCTTTGAAGAATCGCATTTGAGCAGGATACGGAGCCACTTTCTTGAATTGTGCAACCACCACTGATAATTAGGACTTTGATGACATAAGTGACGGAGTTTCCGGAAAGTGGCCTTAGAACTTGTTACTAGTAGCTTCTAGCTAGTAGTGATGCACTTGCTACCAGTGCTAAGCCTTAGCGACAGTCCGACAGTCCAGCAGCTTCCAGATCAGCTGCAAGTGTCTGAGGACGAAGGTGATCCCTTCCACCGTCTCTGGCGTTTCCGTCGATGGCACGGCAGCGAACTCGCAAGTCTTTTTAAAGACCGGGGCGTATATGGGGCGTGGTGCGGGATGGGGGAAGCCGGAGGAAGCCGGGGGCGGCGAGGGGTGCGGGGTTTGAATTATTCACGTTCCTTGAAGCGAAGGTCAATTCTCCACATGCACTGCTTGTTTGCTCGATATGCCTCCTTTCTGCAGTGCCATTGTGGAAGGTGGGGGTGAGGTTGCTCCATCGTTCCTTTGTCTCTATGAAACTTCTTGTCAAATTTGCTCCCTGAAGCTTTTGAACGTCTTGCAGCTCTATCTTTGAAGGGCTCTTTCTTTGCAGGACTTGGATGGCTATTCTGACTGACGACAAATGGTGGCACTATGACTTCATTGCTAAGGCAAATTATGGACACTGTGCAGTTTGCTGGTTGATGAAGCTTTGCAACGTCCTACAATGCTCAGAAGAGATCATCATTTCAACACAAGCGAGGTCTTGTCTGAACAAAATTAACAATGCTTCGCGTGCTAGCCACTGCTAGCCTTGTATTCCGAATAAAGGGGCACTCTAGCGCATCCGAGCGAGCAGATACACAAACGCAATTTGTAGCTCGTTGTTGCCCTGCTGCCCGAGTGACTTCAAGGTGGATCCTGATGCCATTCTTTATGCTGAGCGTTTGCGTGGACATCTTCAATGGCATGTGGGACAGCAACTTGGATTTCGCAAACTTTGGTCACGGTATGTGACTGTGAAAGAGAGACATGTTCTATTTTTTCCCGACCTCTTACTTAATTCATTACAGTAGGCGCCTATCTAATTCAGATTAATTAAGGAGGCAAGCTACTGGCAATAGGCAGCTACTACCTCCTGGAAGCAGGATAGCTCACGCTTCTTCAAGAAAGCTCCCCCTGCTTGAGGGGCGGGGGGAGCTTCCTTGAAGAGGAGCTCACACTATTCATTTGGTTCGTAGATTTTTAGGGAAACTTCACTTTCTATTATTTTTGTCTTCGATTTGTGATATTGTTTGGCAGGGATGTCCTCTCATGCCTGTTACATTCCTGCAACTGTACAGGGACGTCTTCTTCTTGAATTGCGCCAAATATATCCCAGCAACAATGTACGGAGCGCTTGAGGCAAGTTGCCAAAGAGTTTCTTAGGAGCTCCTCCTTCGCCTGTTCGGTGCAGGTCTTCTCGAAAGCAGCACTTGGAGCATACTTATCTCAGCACGAGCGCTGTGAGCACTCTCTTCCCTTCTGGTCTTGGGGTGAAGACAGGCGAGCGAGCGTCTCGAGTCTCGAGTCGACCCGAGTCGACGGCCAGGACAGGGAGGAGCGATCTCCTCCCTTCATCCGTCCGATAGCGTCCTTTTTCCCGAAAGCATTGCGAAGGGTTCTTCCGGAAAATCCCTTGAACACTGACACTTCGACACTTACACTTCGACACTTACACTTACACACACACACACTGGAAGAGCGAAAGCATCCAAGTGCAAAGTATGCAAGTGTCAAAGTATGCAAGTCTAATGTCCTAATGAAAAACATTTCCCCACTTTATAAATTCTCTCTTAAAGGCGGAGGGTGGGACGAACAGCGTCAACCGAAAATGCAACCCTTTGCGGAGATCGTGCGTGTCGAGTGCACGAAATGCAGGCGAGAGCGCGATTTGCCGGCTGTGCGCGCAACCCTCTGCGGAGATCGTGCGTGTCGAGTGCGCAAAATGCAGGCGAGAGTGCGATTTGTCCGGTGCGCGCGCAACCCTCTGCGGAGATCGTGCGTGTCGAGTGCGC